TTTGAACTGCCTATTCCTGATTTAAACCATCTGCAGGCTCGACTTATAGACAAGATTCGTGAAATTAACAATACCCCGAGCATCTTAGAAAATGTCTTTAATTCTTTGAGGAACAGGTGTGAAAAGTGCTTGGAACAAGGAGGGGGACACTTTCAGCAGCTGCTTTAATTTATTGTTATAACAAGGAGGGGGACACTTTCCGCAGCTCCTTTAATTGTTTGTTATTGTTATCACGATTATTCTTTAAAATAAAGTTATATAGTCATTAACGTTATTGAAACTGACAGCTGCTATACAGCTCGTTGAGAAATGAGGTTAAGTTGGTCGCTATAAGCTACTCCCTACGTCCAATGTGTCAGAGCCAACTTCGACCACGTTTTTATTTGAACGCTCGTTATATATAAACAGACAATTTAAGTCGATAATGTACGTAAAAGCTATAATTTACATATTTACATACAGTATGAATCGTGTTTAAAAAGTCTGTCTAAATATGTGGAGTCTAAAAGTGAACATAACCTTAAATATTCTATCGAGTTTGAACGGGGAAGAAACGTTACCTATGCATAACAAAACAAACGATGTGAAGAAGTTGAGGCTGCAACAGCTCTGGATTATTAGAAAAACGATAAAAAGTTGCATTTTCATTCCAATATATGCCTTGATCTCGTCTTGTTCTCAAGTGACGTCACCACATACACGTAGACACATCATATGTCAAATACTAGGTAAATCCACCATTGTTTTAAGATCGAAATGGTCAATAAACGAATTCTTCATTTACTTTTCATTTGCTGTCGGCGTTTCCATTGGTCTCAGGTGACGTCATACCGAGAAAGGACGAAATTGAGCCGGCTGACGACCACACCATACTATTTTCACACCACGGTTTGTGGTTGTGCTGGATATTTGACACTCAATAACTCGTATCTAGATCGTTTTGTCACATGTTCAATTAAAAATGTAGAGGTACTTACAAATTAGTCTAGCTTGAACTTAAAAAATGGTATATATAAAACACTTTTTGACTTACTACGGAATGACGATTGCTTTTCCTTGTAGATCTACACCTTTCTGATATGCTCGATCCTAGCCGACGAAATCTACGAGAACTCCAAGGACATCTGCGAAAGATGTAAATGTCGCGACGAAGACGAGTTTCTCCTCGACTGCACCGACCAAGGTTTCAAATACATCCTAGCCAACTGGCCCGCGCACAACAAGACCCTGGTGGCAACTTTCAGCTACAACAACATAACCACCCTGGAGATTCTGCCGCCTACCAATCAAACTGTCCGGCTGGTTTTCGACCATTGCAACATAAAGTATCTAGATCCCGGCGCCTTTAAAGAGGTTAAAAATGTGGAGTTCATAGATCTGAGCTACAATTTGCTGACGAGTAAGTCACTGTGAGTTTTTATCCGAGCTAGATTCGATTGGACTGGACACGCGTCGACCTGATCTCAATCTCTCAAACCCACTTAATTGACGTTCTTCCATTGTTGGTTGCTTAATTTATTTTCATCTAGACTACAGTAGATCTATGGTTTGAAAGTTCAAACCTACTTACATTCCAATGTAACTACTGATACGACATAGTCCGACCTACCCACTGAATACGAACGATTAAAATTAACCCGCTTTACATTTTATAGTTATCAATGGTTACTAACTTTTCTTCTTTGACTTGTAGCTGAGGAAATTGATGGGGAAGACTTCAAGGGACCTTACAACAAGAGCGTCTACTGCCCTATAGCAGTGAAACATCTTAACTTGGCCTACAACCAGATCCACAGTTTGCCGCGGAAGTTCTTCGAGAGCATGCCGTACCTAGAGGAACTGAATCTGGCAGGAAACGACTTTGTGACTCTGGATCCGAACACACAGATGGCGCTGGCGACGCTCCCGAACTTAAGGGTAAGCTTACGATGGAATAGTTTTCATAGCGTGTTTAGTACAAAAAAAAACATCGAAGAACAGTGTTTGACATCATTTGATAGGATTTTTTATAAAAAAAATTTAGAATTTGAATTAACTTAATATATTTAAAATAGAGTAGTAAATTTCTAATTATTAAATATTTTTCTAATAACTTTAAAGACAAATGTACATTTCAGCTTAGGAATCTAGTGTGTACACAAGCAGTTAGCCGCTTCTATTGGCGGTTGTTGGCACTGCTAACTTAGCAACATAAGAAAACAAGGCAATGTAAATGTAATCAAAATTCTTTTGTTATAAGATAATCTTCGCTTTGTTCGATACACCCTGTATGTTTCATAATTTGTTTAACGCCTGGTTGACACAAATGTCGATTACTAACCAATGATCCGCGAAGTTTTACAGCTAATTAATGACTGAATTATTAATATAGGCATATTTGAGAAAAAAAAACGCGTGAAACTGACTTTCATTTGTTAACTCAGCAGTATCGAGCCTCTGTCAACTTTTTTACCTAATTAATTTATGGCAAATAAATTACTAACTCTTTAGTCTAGTATTTGCGAGGGAACGCCATAACGTGGAAAGTATACAGGGTGTGCTATTAAAGGACAAATATAGGTAGAATATGCAGCGATTCTTCTTGAAGTGTTTCTTGTTTTAGTAATACCAACCACTTGATTGACATATTAAAAAATCCACAATTTTTACACCTACAATGCAATGTGAAATACAAATTACAAATATGGGGGTTCCTCAAGGCTCTGTACTCGGCCCAGTTCTCTTTTTGTTTTACACAAATGACCTGGATTCTCATACTACTGACGCAAACTTTATTATACAAATTAAAACTTCCCACCTGGAAAGTATCGTAACAATAAAAACCTGAGACACGATTTTCATTTCTGCTCACGACGACATACGATTGTTAAATTTTGGTTTGAATATGACAATAAAATCGATGAATGAAAGAATGTTATTTTAATAAGTGTTTTTAATTGATTTTCCTCCGCTTCCATACAATAATAAAATCTTTGCTCCACTTTCGAACGAACATTTCGAAGCATCTCGGGACTTATCTGACGACATTCTTCAACAATTCACCGAATAAGCTCCTTAAGTGAGTTCGATCGTGTTGCATAAATTTTTGACTTTGTGTCCCCATAGAAAAAAGTCAAAGGGCGTTAGATCTGGCGATCTGAGAGGCCACTCAATTGAACCTCTGCTACGGCAAACTTCCACAATCATCGGGTAGATATTCGTTTCCAGTAGATTCAGATACATGTTTCCATCCAGATTTCCCGGTAGGGAGAAAGGCCCTATCCCTATGAGATGATTGAGATGGTCTCCCAGTATGCCCGCCCAAACATTCAATTTCACGTGAAATGAGTGGATTTTCATCACTGCAGTAGCGGCACCTGCGGGGTTTGAATTGAGATTAAGTTAAGTGAAGTGATCTTGACTTGACTTCCAGATGACCTTATAGGTCTAAGCTATCCCAGAATTCAGGCTCAGCGACCTCAAAAGCTTACATACTTACAGGATAACACCCGTGAAAGGACTTTTCTTTACTTTGACCTTGAAATGATCTTGAATTGACTTGAAGGTGACCTTTAGGGTTATGCTATCTCCAGATTCAGATTTTGCGAGCCCAAAAACCTATACTCACTGGTCAAAATACAATACAAGTCTTTTCTTCAGTTTGACCTTGAAACGACCTTTACTTGAGATCCAGGTGACCCTAGATAGCTAAGCTATCCCCGAATTCAGGTGCAGCGATCCCAAAAGTATTGTACCTACTGGTCCAAATTCATTACATGCCTCAGTTTTTGAATCCATCAACTTGAAACTTCGTGAAGATTACTCGTGTCTACAGCCAAAATCACATACTCCCCCCCCTCTTTATCTCTGAAACTATTCATAGGATCAGTTTGGGCCCATGATAATTTTTGATCAGAAAGTCAAAAACTATAACATACTGCAATTTCAGAAAAATCAACTGGGGCCCATTTTCCGTTGATTTTGTGCGGGGTTCTTTTACACTAAACCAAACAATTAAAAGGTCAAAAGAATTTCCGAAATTTTTCCGTGATTTTTGACAAATTTTTGTATTTTTTTTCCGAGTTCACGGACTTGGAAAAATTTTTTTCAGCAAAGCCATTGCATGGACCACATAGCTTGTTTATTCAGCTTTAATTTCCTTTTTTTTAAATTTCGGTATGACCATTATTCTATTATTCATCGAAATCTCGGCAACAAATGGTCGTACAGAAAATTGAAGAGCAGTTTTGAAAACTTTAATAAATGTCCTATAACATGTTGCCGCAACTTTTCGGAATTTTTTTTTTCGTCTTTTACACGAATTTAAAAAACAGGAAAAAAAATGGTTTTTTTTTAGAAAATTGACGGCTAAATTAGAAATATTCACGAAATGACTAATGTTAAGCATGACTTTTATTAACTTTCGAAATTTTTTTCAGAAGAAAAAGGGTAGTTTTGAAAAAAAACTGTTTTTTAAGTGATTACAGACTGCACAAAAATTAATTACAAAGTCTCAAAAAACGGTATGACTGGATCGAAATCTGGTTTGGATCAACTTTAATTTTAATTTAATTAAAAGCTGATGAACAGAAGCATAGAACAGAAAAGCCGAATCGTGCTGGAAACAATTGCATTTTGTTTTCTTCAATGTCCGGAAAGTTTTCTAAAAAAAAAAAATCGAAAATTTTTTGAAAATTTTTCGAAAAATATATATTTTTTAAATCAATTTATAAGTTATTTGCGGTAAAAATGTTTTTTCCATTTTAATCATGATTATGCAGTGTTTAAGCTCAAAAATCGTGACCCTTTAATTTTTTTCAAAAGTTTGACTGTTTGAAACAAAAAAACGGTTCGCTAGATCGAGATGAAACTTCACACGGCTTTTTTGGGTATATCGAACTGTAAAAGTCATGTTTAACATTAGTCATTTCGTGAATATTTCTAATTTAGCCGTCAATTTTCTAAGAAAAACATAAATTACCCTTTTCTTCCTGTTTTTTTAAACTCGTGTAGAAGAGGAAAGAAAAAGTAAATTTCCGAAAAGTTGAGGCAGCATTTTATAGGAAATTTATTACAGTTTTCGAAACTGCTCTTCAATTCTCTATACGACCATTTGTCGCCGAGATATCGATGATTGAACACAAAAGGATCCTTTTCCATTAAAAGTCCAATATTTTGATGAATAATGGTCGTATCGAAATTTAAAAAAAAGGAAATTAAAGCTGAATAAACAACCTATCCGGTCCATGCATTGGCTTAGCTGAAAAAAATTTTTCCAAGTCCGTGAACTCGGGAAAAAAATATAAAAAAATTTGCAAAAATCCTAAAAATTTTCGACCGAAAAATCTAAAAACTAGAATCTTTTCACTTAAATACAGTCTGTCAAAAATCACGGAAAAATTTCGGAAATTCCTTTGACCCTTTAATTGTTTGGTTTAGTGTAGATTTGTCCAAGGAAAATAAATTATATTATTATTATTATTTCAGGTATTGAACTTGGCAAGTAACGACCTAACGGACCTTGACGGCGATGCTATAAAAAGTTTAAACAAACTGGTTGAGCTGAATCTGAGCTCTAATCACTTAGACTTCGTTCCAGAGACTCTGGACTATCTCGGCAAACATTTGAAGGTCTTGGACCTCAGTGACAACTTTATTTTCGAATTAAGAGACGGCAGCTTTTTGGGTAAGACGAGATAATTTTAAAGTTATACACGTAATAATAACTTTATAAAGAAAAAAAAAGTTTCTACTTATTTGAAACATTTTGGGCCACCCTGTATATTCCAGTTCTGTATACTGCCAATTAATTTTGCTCTGCAGTTTTCGACAATATTTTATGTCGTGATTAGCTACAAGACAAAATATTTGTTCGGATTTACATTTTAATAATTAACGATATGTGCTATAAATATTCCAAAGACTTAATTAAAGTCCAGAAACCAGTTATACCATTTTTTTACGTAGCTTAAAGGTTCGGTCATTTACATACATTTTATAATTAGGGCGGCGATTGACTGCACTTTTAAAAGAACTAAAAGTAAATCTAACACAGTTAAATTGTTAAGGAAATTACAATTTTACTATAAAATACATTAAATGTACCTAAGCAAAAGAATAATGGATGTGAACATATTACGAAGCCCTTTCCACAACCATTTTTGTCTTTGAACTAATTTTTTCTGATTTTTTTTTCAACAACAAGAAATAGGAATCGAATCTGGTTCGTGAGGCGGTTACTGCAACAATATCTTTGCAATTTTGAGTAATTTTCATGAACTTTTTAGGAGTGACCAGTATCACGGAACTGTACTTAGACGACTTGCCCAGACTGACCACCATCTATGTCGACACTTTTGCTAACTTGCCCAATTTAAGAAAATTATCCCTTCGGAACAACGTGAATTTGATGACGATAGACAGGGAGGCGTTTGGAATCAATCAAACTTTAGAAGAGGTGAGTAAAGCAGACTTAGCGTCAAATTTGGTGAAATTGTTAGTATACAATAATTAGTCAATCAATCTTGCAAAAATCAACTCGGAATTACTGGAATTTTGGTGAATGTCTATTGAAATTTTAGTTGAATTCGATTGGAATTGTAGATATTGTAATTTTATTAGAATTTAACCGAAATCCAATTTGGAATTCTATTGGACTCAATTCAGTCGGCTATTAGAATTCAATTTTAGTGGAATTCGAATTTTAATACACTTTTACCAGAATTCAGTGGAAAAATATATACGATTTCATTAGGCGGCTATTAGAATTCAATTCGCAGATTATTGGACTCCAATTCATCTGGTGGAATTTAACTGAATTTAACCTAAAATAGTTATTAGAATGCAATTGGAATTGTGGGTTTCAAGTGAAATTCTATTGGAATTCTATTGGAATTGTAATATTTTATTTTACCGAAATCCAATTATTGGAATTCCATATGATTCTTATTTTATTCACTTTAGTTGTCTCCTGTTAGAATTCAATTCGGATCTCATCGAATTCCAACTGAAATTTTTGTAGAATTTAATGGGAATATCATTTCGATTGCCTCTACAATTCAATTTTACATCTTTAAAGCCCTATGATAGAATTTGATTGAATTCAGACTAATATAGTTAATAGAATAGAATTTGAAGTATAAGGATATTTGATTGAAATTTTGGTGGAATTCGATTGAGGATTTTAGTAGAATTTTGCGGAAATCCAATTGGCGAATTCCATAGGATTCTTATTAGATTTATCATTTTGATTGCATCTACAATTAAATTTTACATCTTTAAAGCCTTAAGATCCCGTTGGAATTTGATTAAATTTAGACTAAAATGGTCTGTAGAATACAATTAAAATTTTAGCGAAATTTGATTGAAATTTTAGGTATTACATCTGCAATTTTAGTAGAATTTAATGGGAATATCATTTAGATTGTCTCGATAATTAAATGTTATATCTTTAAAGCCCTAAAATCCTGTTGGAATTTAATTGAATTCGGACTAAAATAGTCAGTAGAATACAATTAGTATTTTTGCGGAATTTGAAATTTTAGTGGAATTCGATTGGGATTGTATTGGAATTTGAATAGATTTTGCGGAAATGCAATTAAAGAATTCCATAGGATTCTTATTAAATTTAATTTAGTCGTTAAGAGTGAATTCAAATCTGATTGGATTCCAACTGGAATTCTAGTGGAATTTAATGGGAATATTACTTTGATTGTCCCCACAATTAAATTTTACATATTTAAAGCCTTAAAATCCCGTTGGAATTTGATTGATTTCAGACTAAAATAGAGAATAGAAAACAATTAGAATTTTAGAAAAATTTGATTGAAATTTTAGGGAATTCACTTGGGATTGTATTTGAATTTTAGTAGAACATTGCCAAAATCCAATTGGCGAATTCCATGGGATTCTTATTAGATCCAGTTTAGTAAGCTATTAAGATTCAACTCAAATTTCATTGGATTCCAACTCGAATTTTAGTAGAATTTAGTGGGAATGTCTACAATTAAATTTTACATCTTAAAAACCCTAAGATACTGTTGGAATTTGATTGAATTCAGACTATAATAGTCATTAGAATAAAATTAGAATTTTAGCGGAATTTGATTGAAATTTTACTGGAATTTTGATTGTATTGGAGTTTTAGTAGAATTTTCCGGAAATCCAATCGGCGAATTCGATAGGATTCTTATTAGATTTATCATTTTGATTGCCTCTACAATTAAATTTTACATCTTTAAAGCCTTAAGATCCTGTTGGAATTTGATTAAATTTAGACTAAAATGGTCTGTAGAATACAATTAGAATTTTAGCGAAATTTGATTGAAATTTTAGGGGAATTTGCTTGAGATTGTATTGGAATTTTAGTCGAACTCCAATTGATTCTTATTGGATCCAGTTTAGTCGGCTATTAAGATTCAACTCAAATTACATTGGATTCCAACTAGAATTTTAGTAGAATTTAATGGAAATATCATTTTGATTGTCTCCACAATTAAATTTTAAAGCTTTAAAGCCGTAAAATCCTGTTGGAATTTAATTGAATTCAAATACAATTAGAGGTTTAGCGGAATTTGATTGAAATTTTAGTGGAATTCGATAGAGATTGTATTACAATTTTAGCAGAATTTTGAGATTACGACTCAATTTAGTTGACTGTCATTGGATTCCAACTAAATTTTAGTAGAATTTAATGGAAATATCATATTGATTGTCTCCACAATTGAATTTTAAAGCTTTAAAGCCCTAAAATCCTGTTGGAATTTAATTGAATTCAGATACAATTAGAGGTTTAGCGGAATTTGATTGAAATTTTAGTGGAATTCGATAGAGATTTTATTGGAATTTTAGCAGAATTTTGAGATTACGACTCAATTTAGTTGACTGTCATTGGATTCCAACTAAATTTTATTTAAATTAAATTCTTGATAATCGTTCTAATTTCTTCTATAATTAAATTGTTCATCTTTGGTGCTCTAGAATTCTATTGGAATTTGACCGAATTCAAACTAAAGTTATTAGAATGCATATAATTGAAATTTTTGAGAAATTTAATTGAAATTTTAGTGGAATTCGAATTTTATTAAATACCAGCTGGAATTTTAACACAATTTAATTTAAATCATCTGATTTTTCTGCGATTAACTATTTTTGAAATTTGAGCGAAATCAGACCAAAATAATTACTTGAATAACTTGAATTTTACTGGAAATTACAAAGTTTCCAAGATTAGCTATAGGTATAGGACAATTCAGTTATCTAAAATCAACCACTGTCACCATATTGCACAAATAAATTTATGAAGGATAACGATCAGTTAGTCACAATAAACCATAAATTACCAAGACGTTTATGGTCATTAAAATATTTTTTTAACATGAAACGTCAAGAGAATATGATCGCATTGTCATTAAAACAATTACTTTTAATACTTTTCACATTGTGTTAATTTGTGTTTTCTTTGAACATAAATGACAATAACGTTTACTGATAATAAGAAACGAAAAAAAATTAATAAAAAAGGTGTATTGTTAATTCACATATAACTCATGTTTAATTTAAATACAGTATTTTCGCAGTAATGTGAAATCATATCAATCTCAATCACGATTGTGGTGAAAAAAATGTAGGAACCCATTACATATTTGCGGATAGTAGAGATGAAGTTGTTAGATAAATAATTATAATTGATCAATATTTACCATACGTACGAATAAAAAGTGGAATTCCCCTCTAGGTGGCCACAGAGATGTTCTGTAGAAATATTGATAAACAAACAAAAATAGATTTTTAAATTTTCCATAGGTGTTATTTTTTAAAGTGTCACGTTTGATAGAACATGTTTGGACAAGTTGTAAATCCATTTTAGAAATACCTTTTACGATTAGCGATAGAAAATAGTGTTTTTTTTAGTTAGATACGTATATCTTGAAGTTCGATTTATAAGAAATATTTTTTTTAATTCGAAAGATATATTTCCTGTGGAATTTTGGACTTTTCCGCGAATATCTGTATAAACTTGAACAACACACTTTCACAGAATTAATATTTCGCGTCAGCCTCGGACGTACCTTCTACTCGTTTTTCACTCCGTGCTGTCGACTGGGCTAGCCTCCTTCTCCGAACTTCATCGGGCATTATCGTTTCTAGCCGCATTCGAACCACAAGCGCTCGCTTTATCCAAATTCAAAATGAATATTTCCACAGACTTCTTGACTATGTTTTACATAAAACAATTTACCAAACACAATTTACATTTATTTGCTAATGGCTATATTTAGTGAATAAAACGGTATCGTTACAACAATAGTAAGAATCGCCGACGGTTTCAGTTGTACCTTACCAACAACTCTCTGGCGGAACTGGACTACAGACTCCTTCCGTGGTCCAAACTGAGAGTGTTCGAACTCAAAGACAACCTACTGGAGTGCGATTGCAACCTATACAACATCAGCAGAGACTTGGACGCGTCCATCACCAGGGAACGCGACGGACCCGTTTGCGTCGACCCGAGGACTGACAATATCAGGGAGGTCTACGCCCTAAGCCAAGACATTTGCGGAGTGAAGGTAAGCAGATTATAAAAAAGAAACACTCCTTTTCTATATGAGCAAAACAGGTTAATTAATTTAATAGAACAATTAAATCTGTGATATGTGTCGATTTTGTGTGGAAAAAAACAGCTCGCACTTTTAACATGCCCGTTAAGTCAATACACTTGTTTACATTACCGTAAACATTCACTACACTTTTCACACTAGTGCAGAGAAATAATGCACTTTTAATGCTTGAGAGCAACTCAAAAGATTAAGAAAATCGCGAAAGTGAAAAAAGTGCACAAAATTACTTAATTTTTGTAATAATTTCATTTCCTATTAAAAAATGTTTAAATATTTGTGCCCACTTAATTTTACACTAGTGTTAAAAGTGTACTATGTACTTTTTACACCACCACAGAAAGTCAATGCACTTTTAACATTATCCAGAAAATTCAAAATACTTTTCACATCAGTGCAAGAACACTTAACACTAATGGGAAAACTCAGAGTTTAAGGAAATCTAGCACCTCTTAAGTGAAAGAAAATACATAAAATTATATATTTTTTATAGTACTAATGTTCTTGAAAACTTAACCTTTCACATATTTGGTTTGGAAAATGTGGAAGATTTTTCGGACTAGTCTGAAAAGTGTCGTAAATTCCACACATTTTTTTTGCGCAAATACACTTTTTACACTGAAATGGAAAATGCACTTTTAACATTACTCTGAAAACTCACGACGCTGAACATTAAACAACAAATAACAATAGTGTGTAAAGTCAGAGTTAAATAAAATAAAATATACAAAGTTCTTATTAAAAATTTGGTTTAGAAGATGTGGGAGATTTTCAGAGTACGTAATATGAAAATTGTCGCAAACTCGAGTTAGTGTTAAAAGTGTGCAATGCACTTTTTACACCAAGTGGAAAGTCAACGCACTTTTAACATTATCGAAGAAATTCACGACACTTTTTACATTAGTGCAAAACCCAACACACTTATTCACTAGTGAGCACACTCATAGTTTAACAAAATTTATTTCCCTTAATAAAGTGAAAGAAAATGTACAAAATTACGTATTTTTGTAATAAATCATTTCCAATGTAAAAGTTTAACTGTACCTATCTGTGTGTTTCTAATTATATAAGAACAATTTAATCTCTCACAAATTTAGTTTAGAAAATGTGAAAGATTTTTGGTTTAGTATGAAAAGTGTCACAAATTTTGCTATAATGTTAAAAGTGTACAATGCACTTTTACACTCGCACAGAAAGTCATTGCACTTTACCATTAGTGCAAAAAAGAACATACCTTTAACACTAGTGGTTTAACTCGAAATTTAAGGTCTCCTAAGTGAAACAAAGTAAACAAAATTACTATTTTTTTGTAATAATTTTATTTCTTATTTAGAAAGTTTAAATACATATACAGGGTGGGCCATTAGTGTGAGAAAGTAAAATAGCTCCCTTGTTCATAATACAGAAAAAAAATTTATATAAAAATTGTACAAAATCAAAAAGCCTACAGGACAAAATTAATATGAAACACACAGGGCGATGAGTAAAAACGGGACACGCCAAATATTACATTTTTTAAATGTAACACCCTGTATATTCTTAAATAATGTGGATTTCTGATAAAATTCTATATATGGCAATATAAACAGTTTAACATTTCAGGGCGGGGTTGCCAAGTATGTAAAAAATTCTTTGAATTTTGGAAAAACATGACCTCGAAGAAGTTGTATTAACTTTCAACTACGAACACTTGGAGCAGAAATATTTGACAGAGTTATAGGCAAATGTTAGACAAAGAATCCTATATTATCTAATATCGATATTTTATACAGAGCATTTCTTATAATACGATCATTTTAAGAAAGTTCAAACTTGATTTTTTAAAATTTTTCAAATGGAACACCAACTTTTATTAAGTATGTTCTACATCTAAAGTTGTTAGTTTTTAAGATATAGCAACATTTCTGGAAAAAACTAATTTTTATTATTTTCGGTCGCACGAAATGGCTTTTGGAAAAAACTGTCACATTGTGTCAACTTGTCAGTTCATAATTTATCATTTCATTTTGAGTTAATTTTATTAATTAATATTTATTTGTGGTATTCTATAAAATAATAAAAATATACAGGGTGTTCCATTTAAAAAATGTAATATTTCGCGTGTCCGGTTTTTACTCATCACCCTGTATGTTTCAAATTAATTTTGTAGTTTAGGTTTCTTGATTCTGTATAACTTTTATATAAACTTTTTTCTGTATTATGAGTAATAAGGGAGTTATTTTACTTTCTCACATTAATGGCCCACCCTGTATTTATTCAAAATGCGTATTATGTTCCTAATCGTATAAGGAAAATTTAACCCTTTACGCAAATTTGATTTAGAAAATGACAAGAAATTTCGGACTAGCGGAAAGTGTCGTAAATTTCACATTAGTGTTAAAAGTGTGCAATGCGCTTTTTACACCAGCAGGACACTTTTAACGTTAGTGCAAAAAACCAACATAACACTAGTGGGTAAACTCTGAGCTTAAGGGTCTCTCAAGTGAAAATATACAAAATTTAACTTCCTACACAAAATTGGTTTACACAATTTTCGGACTAGTGTGAAAAGTGTCATAAATTTCGCATTAATGTTGAAAGAATGCAATACACTTATTACACCAGCATGGAGTCACTGCACTTTTAAGAATATATCGCAAAACTTCACATTACACTAGTGTGAAGAATTTATGCGTATTTACCATTGGGTTAATTCAAAATTTAAAAAAATCTAAGGTTACTTAAGTGAAAGAAAAGTGTTAAAATCTTTGTTATAATTTTGTTTCTCATTCGAAAACTTCAAATATCCACTTCACATTGTTCAAAATGTATGTATTTTTCTGGTTATGTAAGAAAAAATCAACTTCTCGCATTAATTATTTTTAGAAAGTGTGGCGAACTTTTGAACTAATGTAAAAAGTGTCATAAATTTTGCATCATTTAGTTTTTTTTTGCATTGACTTTTCGGAGTAATGTAAAAGTGTATAGTTTTTCTCGGGCAAAATCAGTACACAGTATTTTATGTACATGTCCAGGCTTGAAATAGGCCACCCCGTATACAGGGTGTATCCTAAGTCTATGTCATAAATTAAGGGGGTGATTCCTTGGGTCATTTTAGGACCAAAAGCCATAATAAAACAGAGCCCTAAAGTTCCTGGTTTCCAAGATAGAGGGCGTTAAAGTTTTTGAAAAATATCACATTTTTTCATTTATCTCTGAAGTTGTTTCACGTATCTTGATGAAACTTAGTAAAATGATGTAAAGGTAATAATTCGGCATATTTTTATATAAATATGTCAAGCAGTGACGGAGATTCAGGGCAGCTTTGACATTAAAACCCTCAGAAAAACTACTACACTGGATTTTCAGAAAAAAAGGTCATTTTCGAGTTATATTTTTTTTTGTTCTTATTTAATTTTAAAATAATTTCTAATAGATGGTTTAAAAAAATGAAACAGATTTAAGGCAACGAATCATAAATGGATGTCAGCAATTTTTTAAAATGTAGGACAGTCGTTGAGATTTTCATTTTGCTGGCATTTGTCTGACTTGCTGACATCCATGTTTTTAATCTGCTTTATTTTCTACTGGTGTTTAATTTTTTTTAACCATGAAATACCTGTTATTTAAATTAAATATGAACAAAAAATATATAAAAATGGTTTATTGTGTGAAGAAAATGCAAGAAACCTTTTTTATTAAAAAAATGACAGTAAATTAAACGCGCTTATTAATTTTTCTGAAAATCCAGTGGCGTAGTTTTTCTGAGATATAGAAATATATCGAATTATTATCTTTAAATTATAGTTACATCATTTCCCCAAGTTTTGTCAATCTACGTCAAACAACTTCAGAAATAATGGAGAAAATGTGATATTTTCCAAAAACTTTAGCGCCCTCTATCTTGGAAACCAGTAACTTTAGGGCTCTGTTTTATTAAGGCTTTTGGGCCTAAAATGACTCAATGACCCCCTTAATTTATGACATAGACTTAGGATACACCCTGTACCTATATTAACAAAAATAATCACTCGTGTTACGATTTTTTTATTATTCCATTAAACGAATTGCCCATAAACCGTTCCTATCACTGCTAGAAACAGTTCCACTATCTGAAAAATCCCCAAATACAACGATTGTAAAACGAAGGAATAAAACCCGATTATCAGTCCTATTTTTAGAAATACATTAGAACACGGACCCTGCCCTGTATTTATTTTTTAAATATAAACACGGGTCTATTTGGAACCGAGGAAATGATCTAGCGCGACTTATTTTACGCCTATTCCAGACCCCAATCAGAACGCGACGTGTATGCGCGATTAAACGATTTACTTCGTCGGTAGCGCGAAACAAACTGCGGCGCTTTGACAGATTTATAACGTTTACCCGAAAACTAGATCGTATCCTATGAGGTAGGTGGTCGAAATGAGCACACGGTTCATCGCGGCGGCTTAGCAATTCAAATAAACACAAAATAAAATAAAACATAGGATATATCTCCTATAGTTTGTTATATAGAATGTTTTCTAAACAGTTGAGAATTAAATATATAGTAACCCAGTAAATATGGAGACTATACCCTTGTCTTTACACGGTTTGTTAGAAATTTGACAGCCGTTACATCAGTAGAAGGCAGATTAAGCATAAATAAACAAAACAGTAGGCAACCTGCATGACAGTTGAATTATTTCGAACCGTAAAAATTTAAATTTTGTCACGTGATCAAGGACGCTTTGTGACGTCATATAGTGCGACAGAGAACACAACCTGCTTAGCGCGGCAATAACACTTTTCGTCGGGCAGAGGCAAAAATCCATTCTCGTAAGTCTTCTAGTGGCGCACATCAAGTCCTCCATGTGTCTCTATAAACAAAAATCTAATGGATTCAGATCTGGTGTATGGGCTGGCCAATGATGCGAACAGTTTATGAAATTATCGGATCTCTTTCGATAACGTCTAAAACGTGTTCTTCCGTCGCGATATAAACTTTATATAATTTTATTGAATAATGAAACTAATTATTTTATTGAAACTAAACATAAATTCAAATTGCCCCTTATGGTATTATATACACAAAATTATGTAGAGGATCCTTAATTAAACGAACTTTTGTGCGTTAAGTTTGATGATTTTCTTCCCGCAAAATAGTCGGGTTTAGAGCGCAAGTTTTTTTTGTTTATTTTTATGTATACTGTCGCCTACTGCGGTATTCAAACTCCTAACACACTGTTTATAAATGAAGCGAATATACTGTCGAATTTAAAACCCTATTTCCAGACACACCAAATGAAAAATAATGCACCAGGGCAAGATATTAACTGTTTAAGGTATCACGGGTGTTACAGGAGAACAATGCACTTGGTCGGGGTATATTGTTGACCTCGGTGCATTATTATCCTCATAACACTCTATGTACCTTAATTACTATTAAATTTAAAGTTCCAGTTAAGCAATTACGCAAAATGATTTATGTGCATTTTATGCATTATTTTTAACAATTTTGAAATTCAGTTTTCCAAATAACATTGTTTGAATAATCTTTCATTCTCTAACGTAACAGTCACCCCAGAAAAAAAAAGTATTTTCAGTGGTCATAATTGTTTAGTAAATCGAACGGACGCTACTGGTTGCTGGAGGAGTTAAAAGTACTCACATTGAACACCTCTTCGATCTTGCATTAAACAGACTGATATAATTTTGTACTCTTCAATTTTTGACATTTCGTCATATTACACCCTGTATGACAATATTATTTAAAAAATGATTTGAATGACCAGTGTGAAGTTAGCAGCCAAAAGTTAGCAGTTACCGGAAATACCAGAACGATCATAGGCGTACGGTTCAAGGAATACTTAAAAATATGTAAAACAGAAGTCCTGCAATTACTCCAGAAATCACCGACAGGACGATATTAATGACAGCCAAAAAATAATAATTGAATATCAATTAGTAGTAGTAGAATTCATTAAAAAAAATAACTTAAATTTTTGAATATTTTTGAATTTTTTAATTTTTTAATTCTCGGATATTTTATTTTATTCCTTTTTTATATTTAAAATTTAAATTTTTTGGTTTTCTTAATTTTTGGATTTTTTAAATTGTAAGTGTGATTTTTTAAATATAATTTTATTATTTTAAATTTTCGAATATTTAATTTTTTTCATTTTGAATTTTTTAAATTTGGAATATTTTAATTTTCGGACATTTTATATTTTCTTCATTTTATAATTTTTGGATTTTTGAATTTTAAAATTTTTTTTTTTTTAATTTTGGATTTTTTCTAGTTTTTGGAATTTTTTATGACTTGAATTTTTTACTACTATTACTATTACTACCACTACTATCATTACCACTACGTACGACAATCGATTTTCAACCATTTTTTTCTTTCATTTTTTTCAATTTGAATTTTTTAATTTTGGAATTTTTAAATTTTGAAATTTTTTAATTTTGGATTTTTTTTAGTTTTTGGAATTTTGTAGGATTTGAATTTTTTATTACTACTACTACTACTACCATTACTATTATTACCACTACTACCACTACCACTACCACTACCAGGTAAGACAATCGATTTTCAACAATTTTTTTTGATTTGTCATTATCATTAATATCTTCATCCTGACTGACTTCTGGAATAATTGTAAAACTTCTGTTATTACATATTCTTAAATATCTCTTGAAACGTACAAAATTTAACAGTACGCCTATGGACGTTCGGGTATTTCCGGAAATTTAGCTGCTAACTTCACACCGGTATTTGAATGTGCTTATTTCATTTTAACGCTTCCATCTTTCTTTCAGTCCAAAAGAAATCTGATTGGACATGCCATACGCCACTTCGAAACGTTGCGGGTGGTTCTGATCACCCTGAGCTGCATGTTTACCCTGGCAACGTTCATAGCTCTGACAGTGGCGTTCCTGCGGTACAGGAGGGGGACGGCTTTCCGAAGCTACAATTTCACCACGCAGGTGCAGTACAACCCGTTACAAACTCAGTTCCGCATATAGTTTTGTAGTAAATATATTTTTTTAATTTATTTTAATTCATGTTTGTGAAAATATTTCTGATTTTCATAGTCTAGGTAACGTTTGTAAATTTTGTTTAGTTGTTTTTTTGTTGTAAGATGTAGCTTTAAAAGTACTGGAAATATTTGCTAATCGTGTAGTTAAAGTTTAACCCCCGTTGAAAGAAATAATGAAATTTTTATATCGAATTTTATTTTAAAATCTGTCAAAACTTAATTTTTAAAATAAAGCTTAGTGCAAAAAATTTTAACATCTATAGTTTTTTAAATACAAACCTGTTTCACATTCGCAATTTGTAGCATCTTTTTATACGTCACAAAAAATTGGTAAATTTACGAATGAAAATTAGGGTCACCTTTTATAATAAAAAATGTATCTTCAGATTTTAACAGGTCAATTAGTAAATAGAAGTTGTCACTTTTCTGCAATATTTTCTATTTTTTTGAGCCATGTTTGACCTGAATCACACCAAATTCCGCATTGCTGCACTGCACTGCTATGCAATTTGTCAACCACTTGTCAACAGCTGAGATTTATTGCCCAGTCGCCCAGTTCGGCTGTATGTGTACGCCGTTTGCCCACGCGCACGTTCTTCAACTGGACGTATAGATTTCTACCACCTTCGCGTTTAGTTCGACCAGACATGTATATGGGTATGGCTAAATAAATATGGGAACAAGTTTTTCAAATATTTCAATGCTGAGTTGCTGCTTAGCGACCGAGTCTGGTACATACCTTGAAATTGTAGGTTCTTCAATTGACTTCGGAAAAACTATACCACAAGGACCAGTTCTTGGTCCGGTTCTCCTCTTAATTTGTACCAACGATTTGCCTTGTGTGACTAGTCACTTTGCCGATGATATAAACCTCATTATCCGCAATCATATAATCAACTAAACGTAAATTCTACTATTTAACAATAAGACAGAAAATATCAGTAGTGATACTTTAAAAAAAACCTTGTTTGAAATTTACAGAAACCAAAAATTGTAGTAATATGTAATATGTACTAATTAAAATTGGTGCTGTCGAATAAACATTATTAACTCACCAAAATCGGTTGATAAATTCTTAGTTAATTTATTGGTTAAAAAAATTGGTACATGTATAACTGATTTAAGTCAATAATCTTGACAACAACAAAACAAAACAAACTAAGAAAAAACATAAAGCAATAAAGCAAAGGTTATCATTTTCCACAAACAGAAAGACGAGCTGGATGAATGAACGAATTCCTTTGATCGTTTTTGAGTTATTGCCTTCTCACTTACACAAATCTATCAGCAGTTTATTTTCGGCACCCTCTTAATGACTGTTAAGCACATAAAACGTGCCATAACTGTCACCGCACATTTTTATTGCCAGACAGGAACTAATACGCGTGGCTTGTAGTTTATTATTTTTTATTATTTTTTTTTCTACGATCTTAGCCTCGGGCTTAGCCATTATTTATAAGCTACTGTTCCTGACAAGAGCTAAGCTACTGATGAACGTTTAAAAAATTGATTATAAATATTAAAATTTATGTGAACGCGACTTGAAGAGAAATAATACATATACGAAACTTACCCTACAAATTATGTAGATCTCAACACAACAATTAAATCTAGATAGTGGCGTTGAAAAGTATTGTCGAAAAGTGGGAATTTAGAAGTGTTTGTACGATGATTACACAAGTTAGCCTCTTGCTCAAGGTTATTTGAAGGTCAACTCTTGTTTTTTGACACACAATTTTTAACCTCAGATTCTGTAAGAACGCGAAATTTTACGGTCGGAGACGTGGTACATTTTCAAGGTCATTTGAAGATCAAATCCACCATTTGATCTTCTTAGGTTGGTACTTCGTCAGGGTAGCGAGAAAAGGACTCCCATAAAAGTTATTTGGATCATCGGGGACCGCAATTTGGTGACCTTAGATTGACCTTGAAGATCATTTTCATAAAAATCACTAGAATCGACTCTAAAGCGGTGAGATGATGATTTTCGTATCCACGAGATCTAGTTTTCATAATCTTGAGGGCATAAAAATAGCAACGATAGACTTCTTATTCGAGAATGTGCTGCTACATACTGACAGCTTGTGTCCTTAGCATAACTGGTTGCATAGTGAGGATATTTCAAATCCTGCTACCTCAGATATGCTTGAGGAGTTGCCCCGAAAGTGGATGTGTGACATCCTAAGGTATTCAGAGATATTACCTTAAAAAAAACGAACGTTGACCTTGAAGTAACCTTGGGCATGGCACACAAGGTCAAATCCAAGATCTCCAATGACCCAAACGTTTGTAGAAGTCGTTTTCCAGATTTCTCGGTAGAAATCCTTCAAACGATCTTCAAAATGAGAAAAATTAACCACGTCTCCGAACGTAAAATTTCTCACTCTTTCAAAATCCGGGGTCAGAAATTGTATTACCATAAAAAATAAGAGTTGACCTTCAAATCACCTTGAACATGAACTTAAAAAATAAATCAAACGTAAAATTTGTCGCTGTTTAAGAATCCGGGGATAAAAATTGTTTCGCCATAAAAAAAATAGCTTTGAACATGAACTTCGTCAAATGTACACCGGATTCGGATTCAGCCACCCTAAAAACGTATGAGTATCGTGGCCTAGTCTATCACACATTGATTTTTTTTGCCCGCGGAAGAAATCGGCCTTATAGCAGCAAAAATAAAAATGACCTGGACAATAAGATTTCTAGACTTCTGAAGACTAGAAAATGAACTTACACGAATTATTATATTTCCTCTTAAAGGTGTTCTATAGCAAATAGGCAACCAACAATACATATTTATAGATTTTATCACACAGTTTGTCTAAATATGAATTAATGCACAAATAACAGACTTTCCCCCATTTAACACAGGTTTTCTATAAAATGGAGTTAGTTTGAAACTCAAATTTCTTTTTATAATATAATTCTTAAGGATATCTTTCAGGAATAAACTGCCTTTGTTTTTAACAGTATAGAAATATGTTATTAAGGGCGCCATATTCTTTAAATAGTGTTTTCCGCAAAGACAAATAATTTAAAACATTTAATAACTGAATAATCTAAAGCTTATCAAATAATAGGAATGTTATGTCATGCCACCTGAGTATTTTCAAAGACGCCGCAGAAAAACGAATAAACAGGTGCAAAAAACGATCAAACCATCAAGGTTTTAGGTACTGAAATCTACGAAAATACTAACTTTTTTTATATATAACTCTACATGTAAATATTCTTATAACATTTACTTGCTTAGTCCTACATATAAAATTGTTTACTTTTATTTATAAGTACGT